TCTCAACCTCAGTAGCAGTAACTTGTTAGAAAACCCAAGACTGAATTTCTGGAACATTTTTCTGCTGCGTGGTGGCTGTAAAGGCAGGAGAGGAAAAACACACAAGTGCCCTTTGCTCTCCTATTTGTTCTCCATTGGGGTGGGACGTGTTCACTTTTTTTGAAATTCCTATTCAAAAGGCAAATCAATCCACTTGCATAAATATTGCAAGATATTGATAAGCTCCTAAAATAGAAATTTTGAAACTGCCTGAAAACGTCCTTCTGCTTCTCCCTAAATCATTTGCTTTGGTTCCCATATTACCCCGAGCCCTAGAAGGCTCAGGCTGTGTCCTCTGTGGGTGAGAGAACTGCCATATGTATACATACATACACATACATACATACATATGTTGTTTGGTATTACATACCAGCCAACACAGAGCAGAAAATACTCTGTGTGATCAGGCTGTTTTTCCTCTCCGATTTGAGAAATAAAAAAATTTGACCCATGAATACCCCACCCCAAATTTGCTAAAATGTTCAATTAAGAAGCATTTTTATGCATTTTCAACTTTGATTTTTAAAAGGTAGCTAGGAACTCCCTCTATACTCTTTTCACCAGTATAAACAAATTTAAAACACCTTGCGATGGTGCTAATTTTCTATTTTTTAATTTATTGGCTTGAGAGAGAGCCACACATTGGTTTGTTGTTCCACATATTTATACATTCATCGGTTGATTCTTTTATGTACCACGGCCGGGGATTGAATCGGCAACCTTGGCATAGCAAAACAATGCTCTAACAACTGAGCTACCCTGTCCAGGGCACGATGGTGTTAATTTTAAATAGCTTCCCATTGCCCCAAATCTGAATTGTGTCTCCTTTTGTCACCGTCATGCTCAACCCCACATGCCTATGTCTCCCACATGCTTATGGTCACACCTTCTCAATGCTCAGAAACGTGTTCATAAACTTAAACGTGATGTTGAAATGCCCATGACACCAACTCGGCAACAGATTCAGGTGTTCAATTTATGGCACTCAGCGTGACAATATTCTTTCTGCTGAGACAGTTAGTAAAACTCCTTGATGTAGATATTTGCTAAATAACCTCACAAAAAATAAAATCAACTTATTTTTTCCAATGGAAATTTCAGGATTACAACTTGGAGTTGAACCGATGAAAAATATCACCCCTGGTATCTCTGGCTTTTGTAATTTTCCAACACAGCAACTGTTCTGGGGTTTAGACTTAGACCCTTTTCACTAGTCCCCCTTGAGTAAGTCACAGAACATCCTGGGGACCCACCTTTTCCTTGAAAACGGAGGCACTAATGTGTTGAGAAGGAAAAACAAACCAACACAATTGGTGTTCAGGAGGATGAGCAGGTCCCGCTGGATTCTCAATAACATTAAACGCAGATTCAATTCAGAAAAGAAATGTAAACAAATACTTTTTAGAAGTCTTTCCCTGGAACTTCATTTTGAAAATCTAATCAGAAAAATCAATTAATGAAAACAGTCCATCCTCCAGGAATTCAATTCAATGCGGGTATTGAAACTGGCACAGGGGAGCAGGAAAGAGAAGGTCTGGGGATCGAGATGAACCCTGGTAGGAAGATTAAAACAGGGAAGGGGGACCTTGCTCTGAAACTGGCATTCACTACCCTACAGTGAACAGTCTGACTGTGACTATAGCTATGAATTAGATTGATGGGTGATGTCTGATGATAGATGATCGATAGATAGATGAATAGATAGATATGATAGATAGATGGTAGATAGATACATACATAGATACAGATAGTAGATAGATAGATAGATAGATAGATAGCTAGATAGAGAGATAGATAGATATGATAGATAGATGGTAGATAGATACATACATAGATATAGTTGGTAGATGATAGACAGATATAGATAGATATGATAGATACAGATGGTAGATGATAGATAGATGATAGATAGATAAATTGATAGACAGATAGATATAGATAGATAAACAATAGGTGGCTGATAGAAGATCTGCATTTGGAGAAAATAATTTCCTCATATATTTCTGGTGCTTCATTCTCCTGTACTTAAAAGGCATGGCCTTATCTTATATTTGTTCAATCAAATGGAGATTTCTCTGGTGCGGCACTTGAAGAATTTAAATCCTAGACCGGCCTAAGTTCTACTATGTGCTAAGCAGCTGCTCCTCATGCCTCATCATTCAGAGAGTACTTCT